TGCTTCTGGGAGAAAAGGACATGTTTAATATATTTCATCTTCCTCATAATTTATGTCAGCCTCTCAAATCTTTGATATCAATTGACCAATAAATCCTTTTAGTATCTGATCTTCACACTATAAGCTCGTATATTGGGTTTAAATTTCTCCTTTGGACCAAGGTCAGCCTTGGAGTTGCTTGCAACTTTATAAATGCTTGTTTTTTATCCCTCACTGCTTCCTTTATCACTAATGATGCAAATCTATCTTTAACAGAACATCCTGATTTGTACAAGGATAAGAGTAAGGATACTGGAAATTCAGAACCCAAACCCCAAGATTCAACTTCAGATGTAGCTGTTAAAAGGCAAGCTGCGACTGATCAGTTCATGCTTGAGCGCTTCCGTAAAAGAGATCGCCATCGGGGGATGCGTCGATAGTAGATAGTGCATGAACGTGGTTCTCCCACATGATCAAGTTGTTCCTCAGTGAAAAATACAGCTGTCCAGCTTCATTTGGCGGCTGTGAAGGCATAGGCTGTGTTGACTTGGAAGTATCTGTCATTTCAACTTTACCAGCCCCCATTTTACAGATTGGTAAAGAACTTTTACCAGCCCATTTTATATGCAGGTTGATTTCCCTACTTTCCATGAGGACTAAAATATGGTTTGCAGATATTTGCCGTGAGTCCGTGACAGTTCACTGTTGTTTTTATATTTTTCTGGCCTTTTATCTATTTTACTTTTCCTGGTCATTCATGGTGTTGCCTTTATGCCCCAACAGAAAAATGATCACTTGGTTAATTTGTTTTATTCATAAAAAATGTGTATCATCTCATGGGGATTGCTAGCCAATTTATATGTAACGAAGAGCCGATGAGCTAGACTTTGCTGTGATTTAACGTGCAATTTTATCTCATTCACGTGTTCATGTAATGACAGTTTTAATACCATTACTAAGAGATCACAGATTTGATTTAATTCAATTTGATGATCTCTAGAACTAATAGTTTTATGGTAAAGAGAGATTCTAATGATTATTGAGCAAGAACTCTGACTATTTTCACATGTCATGTAAGTACTTGTATATTGGAGGATTCGTGACCACTTTTATCTTTGATTCTTAAATGGGAAGTTATATTTTGCTGATTTCATCAAAATATATAATAAAGAAAAGAAACTAGATTTTTTTTAGCATAATATATAAATATGCTTTTTAACTTGGCTTCATTTCACATTTATGTCTTTCAATTTTGGGTATGCACAAGTAGACACTTAAATTTGTATAAAATTAAACAAATAGATGCACATGTCTTATGTGACATTCTATATGACAATTTTTGTTCTACTTGGTGTTCTATGATTATTATGTCATAACTCATGTATCTAGTTGTTCAATTTTATAAAAGTTTAAGTGTCTAATTATATACATCTAAAGTTGAAGGGCATAAATGTAAAATGAGGCTAAATTAAAGGATACATTTATATATTATGCATTTTTTTTTGTTGAGGAGTACAATTTCTTTCGAAAAAATAGTGAGTATTGGTTCTCTTTCAGTCTTTTTTGATTTTTTAACTCTACAAGTGAAGTTTCGTGATATTATCTTGAAGTTTTACTTGTAAAATTTGAAACTCTACTACAAGTGATTATTATCAAAACTTGGCTAGATGTGAATTTCATACGTTGAATTTCACACAAAGGGTTTTTGATTGTGATATGGAGCTTCTTTGTGGCCAAAAGATATAATTGTGCCTATTGAGAAAGTTGTTGTTTTGTTAATATTATCAACGTTGTTTTACACTCAATTATCAGAAAGATAATATAGTAATAGTAATATCTATTTATGGGGCATCGTAATACATTAAATATGATGCATGAAAAGGAATCATTTCAACTTGTACACAAAAAGACATGAACTAAAAAACAAATGAAGTTCCATTTACATATCGTTCGTGATACACGTTTGTAGTGGTGATTTTTGAGTGTGATATTGAGTTCCTTTTATAACTAACTAGTAAAACTATTCGCGCCTTGCGCGAGAATTTAAACTTATATGTTATTAAAACTAAAATACTATATTATCTTACATACAAGATTATGTAGTAATGAACATTAATTATGTAAAGAAAAATGATAATTATAACATCTTATCATTTATCCTTCAATCAGTCTCTTTAATTTGATTTTATAATTTATCCTTTTACTTCCAAGGAGTGTTACTATTTGATATTTTTGGGGAACCAAATAAACATCAACCGAGATATACAATATTCTAATTCTAATGTGTAGAAAAGTCCAACCCTATCTTTTACTTTACATACTCCATCCGTCCCTAATTACTTGTCCACTTTTGAATTGGCGACATAGTGAGTTTACCATTTTACCCCTATTAATTATGAAGTAGATGTATTAAAAAATTAAGATTTTCAAAAAGTTCTACATTTTTCAAAGTAATTAATTGAGGGTATAATAAGTAATTTTTTTTTGTCCTTTCTTGATTTGTCAAAATGGACAAGTAATTAGGAACAACTATAAAAGGAAAAGTGGACAAGTAATTAGGAACATATAGAATATATCATTTTCAAGTTCTCCATTTAAATGTATCATAAGTAATTATTAAAATGGAATATTAAAGGGAGAATGTATCATATTGGAAAACAATTCAACTTATTATATATACTTGAAAGAGAAAAATATTACACAAAACTATTCAGTTTATTTGAGTGTTTTTAAAAAATCAGCATACCAGAGTGATGGAGTTCAATTTGAAACTACTCTTCTATTTCAATCGCAGTGTTGAAAAACTCATCTATTGCTTCAAGAAAAGTATTTACAACTTACAGTAAATTTGAGAATTTGTCCATACTTCATATTGAATATGAGCAATTAATTGATTGTGTATCTATGTCTTTGGGATTAAAAAAGGCTCTAGTCTACTCATATTTTACTATAGGTCATCCGACATATCCTTGAATGCATGTCAAAAGTTTATTAATTCTTGTCTTCTTTTCCTGGTTCACTTCGCACATCAAGGTGAGATAAGGTTTTTAATGTCTTTATGTCCTTGCAATGACATACCAAATTTGAATTTTGTCTTCAAGAGATGGTGATATAGATCTTTAAGATTTTTTTTTATTGTACCTTCAACAATTTCAGTAGAGAAAACTTGCGTGAATACTCAATTTACGTATGTTATTTAATCTGTACTAACAAATACTTATAACAATAACTTTGCAGAAACATAAACAACAAAGTTTAAAACATATAACAAAAAACAACAATTAATAACATAAGCATAAATGAATGACCGTAAAAAAAAACATACCAGGATCCGTAACAGTAGAATGAAACAGAAAGGAAAAAATTGAGTCCACGGAATGTACAATGTTCTCATAAGAAAATTATTCCTCTCTAGTACTTGAGGCTTAAAGGAATAGATCCTCTCAGGACAAAACGATTCTCTTCACCAGTATATTTATACAAAAATAATGGTGTCAGTGAGCCACTCAGCATGAGCAAAATACACGAATATTTAATTGTGCAGAAGAAGAAGAAGTTCAGAATTTTTGATATTTTAAAACGCGAGGAAATTCCTCTATTTATAGACAACAAAGGGTAGTGTGAACAAATGCTTATTGTGCCTTATCGAAAATGTCACAACTTTTTAGAAAAGTTACAACCCTTCAGAAAGGTCACAACTTTTCAAAAAAGTCACAACTTTTCAAAAAAGTCGCAACTTTTCAAAAAAGACGCAACTTTTCATAAAAGTCACAAACTTTTCATGAAAGGGGAAGGCTATTTTTGGAAATAAATAAATTAAAAGAGAATTCTAGTTTGTGGTGGCGCCATGTAAGCGGGCCTATGGTTCTCTTTTATACATATATATTATATATATATATATATATATATGATACTCCCTCCGTCTAACGATAGTTGTCAACTATACTATTTTGGAATGTCCAATAATACTTGTTTACTTTATGAAATCAATGAATAATTTTACACTTAGTTCCTAATTTACTCTTATCTTAATATTAAAAGTACATTGATACTTGTCATTTTTTTGTAATTTGACACTTAAAAACACTTTAGAAAAAAGATTAGTCAAACACAATATGCTTATAAAAAAAAAATTCAAATGAATTAGCCAAACCTAAATTGTTTTTTTTTTCAAAAGCACTTTTCTAAAAAAATATTTTTAGCAGTAATGCCAAACACTCTAATATATATTGACTCATTTGGTTATAGAACAAGTTATCTCGAAAATGAATTATCCCGAGATTGGTATCCAACCCTCAATGTAGGATAAAAATAACATTACAATCATCGAATAACTAATTCTGAGATAAGTTATCCTACGATTTTATCCCAGCTAAGTATGAGATAAACTCATTCTAAAATTTATCTCAATATTAGTTTTCTCTTATCCCTGGTACTAGTTATCCTAAAATTGTTACTCCACCCTTAATGAGATAAAAATAACACTAACAATCCGGAAAAATTAATATCAGAATAAGTTATCCTACAGTTTTATCCCTACCAAATATAAAACAACACTAACACCATTAATTAGGTTGTATTTTATCTCTCGTACCAAACGAGCCAACCGGCTACCTAACAACCCCTTGTTTAGGTATACAGTAATTTTGTTTTGTTTTTGTTTAGGCCAATGAAACGGTGGACGGTGGGGACTAAATTGCATTATTCCTGAAAATAAAGAAGCAAAACTGCAACTTTTCAGGCATATTTTGCGCGTAACGTAAAAGCAGAGATGGCACTAAACTCACCCTTATTGGTTAAGGTCCTTCAATATACAGATGGATAAAATCACCACTGCTAGTTCTACTTCTACTTACATTTTCCACCAATCCTTCCTCTTCCACAAGATCCGCCTGCGGTTTGGTTTTCATCCTCACTAAAACTACTGCCCCAATCAATTTTCTATATCTACTACTTGTGTCAGTCTCTCGGGATTTGAGTATTTGCTACTAGTACTACTAGTACTGAGACTGACACAATTTCGTTTCAATTCGGTGTGTTTTTCATTGTAATCGGTGTATTTGGGTAAAGGGTGAAAAGGGTTACGGTGGTTATGCGATCCATGTCGATACCGAAAGAGCCAGAGCAAGTGATGAAGCGGAGAGATGGATCGGTTTTGGGGAAGAAGACGATTTTAAAGAGTGATCATTTTCCTGGATGTCAGAATAAACGATTGTCTCCTCATATCGATGGTGCTCCCAATTATCGAAAGGTAGCTTGAATTGCCACATTCGTTTTTACTTTACTATGTTTAAATTGATCACATTTTCTTTATGTAACGCCCAAGTCAAACTCTGTATCCAGCCAAACTGTTTTTGGTATTCATTTTTTTGGGTACATTTTGTCGATCATAGCTATTTAAAACACATCTCTTTTGTTTAACTAAACCTCTAACTTCTACAGTGGTTTCACCTCGGCCATTTTGCGTAGTTGATGAATCATTGTAAGATAGGGTGAAGTACAATTTTGCATAATTCTACATGTATACAGAAGATTAAGTACACTTGCTTATGGTTTTTGTATTTTAGTGTAATTTACCTGGTGTTAAGATGAAATTAGTATGATTGACTTTATAGGATTTTGTATTGGTGTAATCGTCTCTCTTTTGCTTTGTACAGAATTGTTCCAAATTTTATTTCCTTGGTATTAACTTAGTGCCAGATTTCTGATTTAATACAATTACCACTTACCAGTTCTTAATTGTACATGTAAAAAGTTAACTATAAAGCTAATCATTCAGCTTGTTTATTTACTCCTTTTTATCTTGTTTGTTTTTTCTTGGTTCGCTGTGTTGGTTGAAATAAGTTTACGTCATTCTCCTGTTCATCCAATACTAAAGGATATTATAAAGTTGAAATTGAGGAGTTACATAATGTTGGATATTTACTTCCCTTCTTTAGATGCCTTTTTAGTTCTATCTCTTTTGATAGGTTAAAGATTGTATATCAGAACCACCTTCTGCTCCCTGAAAGTAAGTGTTAAGTGTCTTGAAAGTCTTGTCTCTCATGATGAAGCGGAATGTCTAGACTTCCACTATTTTTAGGTGAATGTTGTGGAAGCAGCGAAAGACACTGATGGCCAGCATGCTCATTACAGAAACTTCCTTTACAAATGAAATGTACTATGTCATTTAAGTGAATTTACTATGCTTAGTGGACTCAAGATTGTGGTCTGTGATCTATTAGCTACATTGTGCATGATTTCTTGGAGAAACATTCTGTAGTTGGAGGGGAATAAGCTAAAGAAAGAGGGATAAAGGTGATATAGACCATTATGACGGGGAGGAATAGAGGAGCTTCTGGAGAGTTCAGAATATATTGTCTCAAATGGAAATTATGTTATTATATTCTATTTAACTTTGGGAACACGTAGAATATTGACTTGTACAGGACTCATATTTGGAAGAAAATTTCTGTATTGTGACAATGAAATGACTGATAGTTGCAGTAGAGAGGAAGAATATGTAATGTATGGTCTAAAATATAACGATATATCAGGGCCATGGAACTTCATACTGATCTCTACTTGTTTTAGCTATAGTTAATCCACACTATGTAGCGTTGTTGTTGTTGGGCGGTCGAATCAACTGGTATGCTCCTGGGCATTGATTTCTTGCATTTGATATGGTTTATAACTTTATATCATATAGCTCTTGGAATGGCTATGTTGGAGAGATATACTTGGCAATTTAAAGGGGCATACTTCTCTGCGACCTTCAATCTAGGTGATTTCATATTTGCATGCCTAAAATGAGATGTGCAATTTTTTTCTTGGAGAAAAGATGCCAGGTTTACTTACATTTGGTCCTTATAATTGTACTAAAAGTACATGCATCGATGGTCTCTTGTTGTACAATGACTTTGTGATGATTGCACATGTTGTTTAGCTGATCATCCATATCAATGGACAATTCATCAACACAAATTTAATTCTTTGAAATATCTATTAGTGACAAGGGTTGCAGGTTCATGATTATGTTTTGCCATTTAAATATTTTGCACTCCCTAACTAAAGAATTTGCATTAGGCCGACTCTTTGCATGTTCATGGTGTTGCTATTCCAACAGTTGAAGGAATCCAAAATGTTCTCGACCATATTGGAACTAAACTGAGTGGGAAGAAGACTCACATTCTCTGGATTAATCTTCGCGAGGAACCGGTAATAGTACTTCATTACTTTTTTGCATTTGCGTTTCATTGAATTTCTTCTGCACTTCTGTTTTATTTTATCACTTTCTTATAGGTGGTCATTATTTCATTAATAACTGCAGTATAGTTTGGTAAAGAAATTTCTAGGACTTCTAATAGATTCTTTTTATGAATTAAATATATAGAATAATCTTATAGGCAATGTTTGCATGTTGTGTTGCACCTTTAAATCTCATTATTTGCCATCCATACATCATATAGTTCCATGATCCAAATTTTCTTTTTGTCGCTCATTGAACCTTCGAGTGCACATAATTTATTGCATTGTTTTTGATTAAACAAAACACCATCATCTTTCTGTCTGTCTGTCTCTCTCTCATTCCGTGTCTTTCTCTCTCACCCTTTCCTTCTTTTTGTCTCTGTTTTTTCTTTTTTCGGGGCAAGTTTGATGGAAGACTTCCCTTGTATACAGGCTTTCATTCAAAAGAGTATAGACACTTCTCTATTCTACAGTTTTTTCTCTTTCGTGATTGGGTTGCATTATTATTAAAATAAGTGCTATTGCCTATCTTTAGATAGCCCATGAATTTTTTGTTTAAAATGAACTTGCTTAGATAATAGCAAACTACTTGTTACCATTCTCAACAAAAAAAAAGGAAAAAAAGGAATGCAAACTTATTTGCCATTAAATTGCGTGACATCAAGTTCTATGATCAATTACCTGAAATTCTATTATTGATATCCATCCTCATGAAGTATTTGAAGGTGCAAACATCTGTTAGTATTTGAATGAGCGAGCATATAGAGAAGGAAAAATTTGAAACTGATTGAAAGTTGAGCATTGGTATATGCATTTGGTATGCTTGATCTCTCGAATGGCATAACTAGATAAAGCATTTTGATCAAAGATGCTGCAATATTTCGATTCCTGAAAACTTTATCATGATTGTTTTTTTTCTAATCACGGAACAGGTGCTATATATTAATGGACGCCCGTTTGTCTTGCGTGAAGTAGAAAGGCCCTTCTCTAATCTTGAATATACGGTGCGTCATGGCTAGGATTGATTTTTCATTTTGACATATTGCATATTTTATTTTATTTTATCAAATGCTCATGTTGATTCTGTGGGATTAGGATATTTGCATACTTGTCAGGATTTTTTTTTGATCAAGTAAAAGTGTTTTCATTCATATTCATGACCAAACTGGCTGTATACAACGGATATACCAAAAGGTAAAGAATCTACAGAATATGATTTTCTACAAACTCCACCTAATCATCTATACAACAGGGAGCTTTCTTTTTACACCAAAAGAAAATAGGGGAGTTGAGTAGAGAAACTCAACTCTACTCCTTCAAAGGCACTTCTATTTCTCTCTTCATACTACCCACACTAATGCAAGCGGAACCACATTCCAAGTCCTTCGTTGTCTCCTCCTCCCGCTCTTCCAACTGAACATCAAATCTTTCATAGTACTTGACATTGCCCAAGGAGTGCAAATCCACTTGAACATATCCCACCATAATCTCATGGTAAGCCGGCAATGTAGAAGAAGGTGGTCTACATCCTCGTCTGCGTTCTTGCACAGGTAAAATCAACTGAAGCAGACAACCTTCTGCTTTTTAAGATTTTCCGCTATCAAAATCACCCCTCTAGTAGCTAGCCAAGTGAAAAAAACACACCTTCCTTGGCACACTTGGACCCATACACCTGTCAGGATTTATCAAAATAATGTCACCACGTATCCACACTAACAAGTTAAACACTTCTGATCATGCCATCAATGAGATTTTATAAGATATATTTATGGGACATTTTCTTATACTTTTTGTTCTCAATGCAGCATTGGTTGTAGGACTTCTGTCTAGCACTTGCTGGGAATTCTTCCTTCCAGAGATTTATGAAAAGTTAGTAATATAAACATGAACATATTCAAAAAATATATACAGGATTTACAGTCAAGCAATTTTACCGTATTAGGATAGTATGGCCCTTAATACTTGGTTTACCAAGCGAAGAATCTTGGCAAAGATTAACCTTCCTACTTCCCCACACACTGGGAAGAATGTTCCCAGAAAAAGCACCAATGCTCTCTATTCTTTGATATGTTTCGTTACACTAAGACCAAGAGGTGGAGGATTAGCTTTGGTAGTGCAGGGGCTTAAGCAAGCCATATTAGATTCTTTTAACGTTTCTCTTAAGAGAGCCGTCCTCTGTGTTGAGCCTTCATAATGATTTGCACATCAAATTTTTATTAGGAGACTTCAAACCTCCAGCTTCTAGCTCTCGATTATAGCCAAATGCCTCGTTGATCTTTTCCACCAAAAGATCTCTTTCTGTTTGGATATTTCATCCTAGTCCATTTGAAGACTTACTCTCTGAACCAAATTCACCTGAGAGATTCCTTGTTTCAGCTCCATTGTTAAACTTCAGAATTCAGCAAGAATGTGAGATCTCATTTTCCTCAAGTGTCTAAAAGAATTCAAGTTTCAGCAAGAATGAATGATCCTAGTGCTTCTTATTACGGGTAAAACCTTTCTTCTGGCAATGCATATTGGTTTCCACCCTCATCTTGTGTATACTTGCAACTTTTCTTTATCTGGCATTTGTAAGGTTCTAATGCAAGTTTTTAACTTTCATATCTTTTCCTAATATATCTGTTGATATTCTTCTTGATATGAACTTAGATTTTATATTAAATAGGGAATTAACAGGACAAGAGTGGAGGAAATGGAGGATCGTTTGAAAGAAGATGTTCTGCAAGAAGCTGCAAGGTTATTGTTTGCTCTATTTATTGTTCGTGAACGAATATCTTAGGGTTTTCACTAAATGTCATGATGCTCACGTGATCAACATTTTTATCTGATCTCTTCTATTTGATAAAAACAACAGATACGGAAATAAGATCCTTGTAACTGATGAGCTTCCTGATGGTCAGATGGTGGATCAATGGGAACCAGTAACATATGATTCTGTGAAAACACCCTTACAGGTTTCATGAGTTTACAAAAGCTTTGTTGAAGTTGGCGTCAGAAAAGTTTGTATTGATTGCTCATTTTCATTTTGATCATCTCCCTCAAGTTAGGTGTATGAGGAGCTGCAATCAAAAGAGTACCTGGTTGAATATGAACGTGTTCCTATTACTGACGAAAAATCACCTAAAGAGCTGGATTTTGATATTCTTGTGAGTATTTGTATCTTTATTTGTCTTTGATATTCATTCCCATTTTTTATGTTGAAGATACCTTGCTTGTCATCATGAAGGTATTGGAGGTTCCGTTTCTGAAGTTTTTTTTATTCTTGGTCAGAGGTTACACTGAAACATAACTTCATGCATCGGAGTATAGTTTTTTTTTTCTTTTTGAAACTGGTAAAGATTGCATTCCTCAACATTAAGGATATGTTGGCAACCTTCAAAAAGGGAGCAAGGAAGAAAAATAAAAAAGAGATTACTTACAAAGAGCCTAACAAATCTACAAGTTCTGAGTCCTCAATTTCTTTCTCTTTACACCAAAAACAAAAAGATACAATACAATTCCATTTAACTTTGTGAATGGAATTAGATATATCTTCAAAGCTTCTGCTATTTCTCTTCCTCCATACAGTCCACCAGACACACTGTGGGATGATTCTCCATCATCTGTTCTGGCTCTTGCTTTCTCCTCTTCTAATCTAGCAACTCAATAATCTGCAGTGTGCTCAAGATCCATTTTGTGTTTGTGAGTGTAAAAAAAAAGCCCATAACTGTGCTGTGAATTTACAATGCAGAAACAAGACGGTTGTTGGTCTCCTCTGTTTTCTACACATAGTTGACATCTGGAAACAATAGTTTGCCCCTTTTTCTGCAGAATTTCCTATGTCAAGCAAGCGCTTCTGTCTACCAACCATATAAAGTATTTTACTTTTGTTGGTGCTATGTTCTTCCAAACATTGTTCCACAACAATAGTTGGTTTTTGTTTTGTTGTGCATTGCCTATTTCATAAGCCCTTTTAAGTGAAAAACTCCCATCCTTGCTATGTTTCCATCTTAGAAAATCTGCAACTGAGGAAGTGCCTGTGAATCCCTCTAGTTCATGTAGCATGCTGGCCACCCTGTTTACTTCCCAATCATTCAAATGCCTTCGAAAGGATAAATTCCACCCCTGAGCAGTCCAACACTCATAGACAGCTGCCTCAGGATTGTTGCATCTTCTGAATAAATCATGAGGTCTGGTTGTTCTATGCATCTCTCCAAAACTCTGTTTCTCTACCATCCCCCACTTTTATATCCATGTTTCCTGCTAGTGTAGGCCAAAGATCCCTGATTGTTCTCCACACCCCAACACCATATTATTGCTGGCATCACTCATCCCAGGGTTAAGCTCACCATATTTGCATTCCATAAAGCTTGGCCTCCTTCACTATACCTTCATAGCCATTTCATCAAGAGACTTTTGTTCTGTCTCTTGAGGTTTCTGATGCCCATTCCTCCCAAATGTCTACTATTCACAGTTGTATCCCATTTCGCCAGATTATATCCCTTATTGGCTTTGCAAACATGCCATAACAAATCCCTCCTAAATTTGTCCAACCTCTTCAGAACCTTAGAAGGTAAAGGAAACGAGGACATAACATAGGTAAGTAAAGAGTCCAAGATTGTATGTGGGTCAGTCTTCCTCCCAGAGATTAGTATTGAGTCTTCCACCTCGTCAATCTGTTTTCTGCCTTCTCTACAATGCCATCCTATTTCATTGGCTCTTTATGTTTGTTGCCTGATGGCATGCCCAAATAAACTGTAGGCAAGTGCTACACATTGCAACCCAGTATCTTTGTCTAACTATGTAAATTGACCACTTCCTTAATTGGAAACAAATTGCTTATCCCCCATTCACTTTGAAGCCTGAAGTGGCCTCAAATAGCAGAAGTATCAATCTGATGTATTTTATCTATTCCTCTATAGGTTTGCAAAAAATAATTGTATCACCAGCATAAAACAGATGACAAATCTCCTTAGTTTGTCCTCTACCACCTCCTATTTGGAAGCCTCTGATCCAATTGTTTTGTAATGCTACTTTCATCATACTGTCAAATCTTTCCATTGCCAAAATAAAGAGAAAGGGAGATAAGGGGTCTCCCTGTCTCAATCCCCTTCGTGACAGGAGGAATCCAACTTGTTCACCATTCACAAGAACAGAGAATATAGCTGTACTGATGCAAAACCTAATCCATCCCCAACCATTTCTCTCCAATGGAATATAGTTTTATGTTGATTTGGATGGACATATCGTGAAAATTAGGCCATAAAAGTTTTCTGAAAACTTTGATCTTCTGCAATCAATCAAATTTTTGTGAGTTATTGTATTTTAGTGTCTAGCTACCATCTTTCTGAAATCCTTACGATAGAAATTGGTCAATTTGAATAGCCTCTGAGGTTTAATTCAAAGGTTAAGGGACTTGTGACCTAAATCACAAGTTTATGCCCTGTACCATGTGAACAAACCCTGGTATTTAAATGCAAAAGGGTAAAGAGGTGGACCCATTATACTCGAGTTTTGAAAGTTGCGGTTGATCTTGAGGGTTGGAATGTCAACTACCTACCAATCTCTAAAAGCTAGTTGTCTTATGTAGTTTTATAGTTGGGTTTATATGTACCCAATAATTTCCCCTGTTACCTTCTCACTAGCTCTCGACTAGATATATATGGGAGCTGATAAGTTCTTTTTGCTACTCTACTTTTGTAACTATTATGCATCCACATGTGGCATGCCATCAATGCATTGTTTACTTCATAAAAAAGAAGAAGCAGAAGAGACGGTGGAGATTAGTTCCATCATGCATCTGATGGTCAGTCTGGTTGGAAAGAAATGGTTGATGCTTTGAAGACAGGTCCATTTCCATTCATAAAGTAAAAAATTCAATTAGATCTTGTCTTTACTTTTTTGGTGTAAACAATTGTGCATAGTAGATATATTATAGATCAGATAGTGGACTTAATAGGAAACTTGTAATTGCTACTATTTTTTTTCCGGAGGTGGCCAACATGCCCTTAATGCTGACGAATACAACCATACCAGTTTTAAAAAAAATGTTTCACCAAGTCAATGTAAACTTATTTTGGTTTTGTAACTGAGGAGAGAGGTTCTTCATCCAAAGTTGTTTTTTAGGACACGTAACTGTTCTATGTGCAAGATTGCGAGGGAAGATGTGTATCTTTACTGCTCATCGTCCCATGGACTATATATGTTTGTAATTTGTTGGATTAGTACAAAAAATGTTAGAGTGCTGCTTCGCGGATGGAAGTACAAAAAGGGATAGAAAAAAGAACGTGATGCAACTCCTTAAGCACTAATGTGGACAATATTGAATGAGAGGAACATGTGAGGCCTTGAAAAAGTGAATTCAAATTTTGGATATTAGTGGAAGATTGTTGAACTTTGTACATTTTTTGGAGCATCCTATTCCAATTTGTAATGATGATTAGTTTCTATTTGTGGAAAAACACGTGGTTGTGTAAGTTCTAATTATCTTATTGTATACACCTTGTAGGTAGAGGTTTCCATCATATTAATTCCAGATCTTACATATATTAATTAAAGGACAGATATAGTATTGAAATATTCTTCTTCCTTTATTGTTGCTTTTAAAAGCATATATAGTTCACATTCCTCCAACTTATTCATATCTTCTAGTTTTGGCTTAGAAAATAGCTATAAGTAAAAACTCAGCTATTTGCACTTTACTACCAAGATAAAATTAGGGGTAAGTTACATCTCTCTCTGCGGTAAATTCAATTTAATTTTGCAAGTAGTTAGTTTGTCTTAACAAAGGGGAGAACCCTGTATGCAAGTTTTATACAAACTAAGGTTGTACTAAAGAATTGAATCAAGAAACTCACGCAATCATCTACACAATAGAGAATATGATGTATTCTTTAAAAGTATACTGGGAATAGCAAAGTGTTCCTCTCATTTTCATCAATGAATTTTCTTGTCCTTCACAAGCTCTGTTAATGCATTTTCCGTTCTCCCTGATAAGTTGCTGAGACTCTTCACTTTGGATGCTGCACCCTTGTTAACACGACGTGGGTGTGGGTATGAATGAGTGTGAGTATGATCGATCGGATCTGGTCAACCAGTTTTGGGTACTTTGACCAAAATCAACGGACAAATTTTGGACTGATACACTGATTGTTGTAATCAAAACAAAAGGTAAGGTAAAATTGAGGAAAATGAAATACCTTGTATATAGAAATTTCTATGTAAGTCCTTTTCCTTGTATCTCCCTCGGAGTTTTTCTCTTGATCAATACTTTCTCCTCGGAATACCTTGTTTCATATGATGTCTCATAATTTATACATATAACTCTGGTTTTAGATGTTTTAATTATTTTTAGCCAAATTCCCGCACCCATATCTGTACCTTGATCCATACCCCCGAATCTTAAAATTTAGATCATGAAGGATCTGACATCTAGATCTGCACCTATATCGGTCACTTGCATCCGATTCCGAGTAACTTATTTCCCTGCCTCTTCACATTCTCCAACATTTCAAATGTTACACTATATTTGGCATCGCTGAGTTGATTTCTGTCATTTAATTTAGATCATGAAGGATCTGACATCTAGATTTGCACCTATATCGGTCACCTGCATCCAATTCCGAGTAACTTATTTCCCTGCCTCTTCACATTCTCAAACATTTCAAATGTTACACTATATTTGGCATCGCTGAGTTGATTTCTGTCATTTTAAACATCAATCCACAAATTAGAAGGAAAATTATAGTGTGAAAGAAGGTGATCAACCTCCTTTTAACCCCTCAATATAAAGCACCAATTAAACATATAATTTGCTTCTTTTTTTTTGAGATTTATTCTAGTGAGATCGAACTCCAAAAAGTAGTGGTGGAGCCACAACCAAGGAAGGGGGTTCAATTGAATCCACTTTGTTGGAAAGTAGTACCGTGCAAATAGGGCAATCTTTTTTTCCGTATGTAGATATAACTTTTGGATCCCCTTGTAGTGGCAAAGATAGTGAAAAGTTGCTTTAGGTCATATTTTCAAATTTTATGAATCTCCTTAATATTCCTCGCTCCTCCATTGCCCAGAAGTTGTCCTTAAAATGCAAATTTTCTAGGTGCTGTTTTTGTCCATACAACTGCCTAAGGGAAAATCTTTGAGTTTTAAAGTTGATACAGCATGGCAAAGATGTAACTGTAAAAGTACCTGATGGAACTCCCTCACAATTCGAGGAATGTCACCCGCTTGCAGGATCGTAAAAGCATAAATATTACTCCCCCGGTCCCGTCCCAATTTATATGACTTAGTTTCCTTTTTAGTCAGTCCCAAAAAAAATGACACATTTCTATATTTAGTGATAAGTTAGCTTATAAATGTCCATTTTACCCTTAGTGAAATGATTTACAGCTTATTTTAGACCACAAGTTTTAAAAATCTTTCTTACTTTCTTAAATTTCGTGCCAAGTCAAACTAACTCACATAAATTGGGACGGAGGGTATGTAGAAGACATGTTCTTCCTCCACCTTCTAATCATCAAAGGTTCTAGCTGAAGTTAAAGTCCTAACTCTTGTTGTTGACTCCACATCTACCTCACCTTTGATTAAGCAATAGTCAAGTATTTCTTCTTTAGTATATCTTTTTTCTTTTATCAAGTAAAAGTATTTTCATTAATGACAAGGCCAGAAACATATGGCCATATACAAGTGGTATACCAAAAAGTAGAGAAACTACAAAAAGATACGATTCACTACAACTGTCACCCTATCTTCTATACAATGAGTTACTACCTGGGTGCACCAAAGGAAAATGAGGGATCAGAGGCTACTCCGTAAATTGAGTAAAACTCATCTCTACCCCTTCAAAAACTCTTCTGTTACTCTCTCCAAACAACCCACATCAACACGAGTGGAGAGACATTCCACACTTTGCCTCTCTCCTTCTCTCACTCTTCCAGAAGGACATCAAATCTTTTACAGTTCTTGGCATCACCCATGGGATGCCAAACCACATAAATCCCACCGTAACCTCGCGGCTAAGTCACGATGTATATCTTCAGTATATCCTTGGGAGGGTAATTATGGTAATCTGCCCAAGAGCTAATTACTGAAGCTAATTAGGGTACGGTAATGACAATTGAGCAGTTTATTACAAATTCCAAATGACAGGACCACTTTTGGGTTTAATTTTCAGTAAACTAGTTAGGGAAGGTTTCTAGATTGCAAATTAAAACAAGAAAGGATTTAATGAATTCTTGTTTTCCGTTTTACCAATCAAAAAAAGAAAGGAATGTAATGTTGTTTTAAGCTAGAATGTCTTTAATTTTGTGTAACTGGAGGGAGGGAGCTAGCTGGTTTTCGTTTACCTTTAAAATTTAAACCTTCACGTTTCTGTTATAATATAGCAACTGTCTTGACTCGTCAAGCAGACTTCTTTGCGTATATTGACAGGTTATGGTTGTTTAACTTTTTTTCCTTTTCAAGTGAGTAGTCTTAAATGTATGGCAGCCATGTGTTTATGACCATATTTATGCTCTTAAAATTGTGCTTTTGCTTATATAAATATTTCTGTTTAAATGTAGAGGTTCTCTACTAAATCATTTCCCTGATTGATTTGAACATTTGGTTTTGTCTTATTCCTTTTGTTTTTCTCTCTCCTTTTGATATTTAGGTTCATAGAGTTTCCCAAGCTGATGTGAAGACCCAGATTATTTTTAATTGCCAAATGGGACGTGGGAGAACAACGACAGGAATGGTGATTGCTACATTGGTGTACCTTAATCGTATCGGGGCTTCTGGTAATTCTTATTTTCTCTTATGTCAGACCTGGCATTTCCCTTCAATGTTCAATTTTTACAAACATTTCCTGCCCTTAGATTTTTTTATGAAGTAAGTAATTTCATTAATGGCATCCAGTGGATGCAGAAAATCAGAAGTACATAGTGCTAGAAAATATAGATCAGCTCCTGCACAGAGAGGTAAACTAAATAGTTAGGAGCTGACAAAATCTTAAAGACTATCTTGGTACTTTACAGGGAAGAGATTATGCCATCTTTTCATTCACTGCACTTTCACCACACATGTCTGGCATTTCATTCTGAATATTATGGGGGGGGGGGGGGGGGGGTAGCTGGGCAATGCCTAGGACAACTACTGAGCTACCAAATGTTGATACTTGAAAGGGCTGGGGAAGGACAAGCAAAAGATATGGAATACAATGCCTGTTTCCATCTGGCGGATCATTTGGAAAGAAGGAACACAGGAATTTTTGAGAGCAAAGAGGAATCTGTAATCAGCATTAAGGAGAGATGCAGTTCTTTATTGTTTTATTGGTGTAAGATGGAAATTGCAAATGACGTAGAGGTCATTATAGACTTTTTGAGCTCATTACACAACCTTTAATGAGACTTTCCTTTGTAAATACTTTGCAGTAGTTTGCTGCTCTTTAATACAATACTTTTCCTAATGTGGGACTTCACAGTGCGACTCTGGATTTAGTTAGACCCCAACGGGGGTACCGGAAACCGGGTGAGAAACAAAAAAAAATACAATACTTTTAGGGATAATTACAAGCCAATGCATTTGGGTGATCTAGTTTACAAAATTACAAGCAAATGTCTAGGTTTTATGTATTTAAGTATAAATGTATATATACAATTAATATACATAATCAGAGTGTAGATTTTGTATATTTCGGCTAGCGCTGGTAATTAAGTTTGGTCAAAGGGACATAAATGAAAGAATCCCATGCTTTTACCAATATAAAAGAAGAGATTATGCCAACTGAATTGTTATATCTAGACTTTATAGTGTGAATGGGAGTTGATGGACCATCAGAATATCTTTACTTTACGTCCAGATACACCAAAATCTCTCTCGCTCTTTGTTCTTGGATTTTGTTTTATTAAGCCTTTTTAGTTGGAAGGATCTCTTTTATTCTTTTTGGATAGTGACCTGAAATTCATTTGTTCAGAGAAAAGGGATTCAATACCTTACTTTGATATCATGAAGAGAGAAGAGAAAATAACTTTTCTAGAATAGTCATCGGAATCAATGTTAAAAGGAGGAACTCAATACCCCAACTGTAATATTATGAAGAAGGAGATGAAAAAGAATCTTTTAAGGGAATAGGTATTGGAAATTTAATGCTTAGCAGAGCGACTCAATATCCAAATTCTGATACGTGAAGAAAAAGGAAGAGAAGACTCTTTTAGAATAATGAAGTTTAATGTTTAGAATCCGTCTGTTTAAAAAGGAAGGGAATAGTGGCATATATTCTGCTAACTCCTAGTATGAAAAACTTTTGGTAATGGAGGAGATTCTTTTTACATATCTATCAGTATGAATCCTAGGGTTTTGATTAAGGTGTGTTTTTCGTTTGGCTAACTGGGGGAGAGGGATGATCTTGACAATTGAGAATTTGAGGAAGAGGAAGAAGATTACATATGCCAGTTGGTATTTTATGTGTAAAAGTTCGAATGAAGAAGTGAATTATCTTATTTTACATTGTCTGGTAGTGTCTCGCTTGTGGTGGAAAATACTGAGATGGTTTGCGATTCAGTGGGTGATGCCAGGCAGTGGAAATAAGTGATGTTTAGTTGGACCCTTAGAAGATGGAGTGATTTTGTACACTTGAAGAGTGGCCTCTTGTCCTTGTTTTTTCTTCTGTGCGCCCACGAGGTTTCTTATTTGTATAGATGATTAGGTGATGTACTATTGTTTGTACAAAGTCTTATCTTCTTGTAAATCTTTCTACTTTTTGTGTATACTCGTATACCGTCAATTGTTTGCCCTTCATGAATAAAATTTTATTACTTTATTTCCTCAAAAACAAGAAACTGTGAAGGTAGATTGCCAGCACTTGATCTAAAAGCTAAATCACTAAACCTGTCTGTCCTGCAGGGTCTGCATGAATCACTCTTTTAGTTCTCATCAGTTCTATGTTTAAATCTTCTGGAAATGTTACTTGAGATGTTTTCATCTAACAGGAATTCCGAGGAGCAATTCCATTGGTAGAGTTTCTGACTGCATCTCCAATCTGAATGACACATTAGCAAACTCAGAGGAGGCAATCCGTAGAGGGGAATATACTGTAATTAGAAGCTTGATTCGAGTATTAGAGGTAGCAAAACAATAACTTTCTATTTCAATAATTTTAGCAGATTTGGCATTTTGTTGATCTAATATTGACTGGAGTTGTGCTTTATAGGGTGGTGTCGAAGGCAAAAGACAAGTGGATAAGGTCATAGACAAATGTTCCTCTATGCAGGTAGGGGTTTATTATGTGTGAGAAAATGTTTTGTTTCTACTACGTTTTGCATTTGGTTATTTTTTCTGCACAATCTTCTATTCTGTCTTCTTGTTGGCATGATATGCTTCTTCTGATGAGAACAACTCATGAAGAATCTTTCTATCATCCCTTTTATTTCATCTCATTTTAGAATGCTTGAAATTTTGCAGTTTCTTTTCGCGTGGGTCTGAGATAAAAAAATTATGATGCAAATTTTTAATTTAATAAATGGATCTACATGCAGAACCTACGTGAAGCTATTGCCATATATCGCAATAGCATTTTGCGCCAACCTGATGAGATGAAGAGAGAGGCAGCACTTTCATTTTTTGTGGAGTACCTAGAAAGATATTACTTCCTCATATGTTTTGCTGTATATCTCTATACACAACGAGATGCACTTTTTTCTGGATCCTCTGCTCATTGCAGCTTTAGTGATTGGATGAAAGCAAGACCGGAGTTATATAGTATAATCCGCAGGTAAGGATAAAATATTCTGCTATTATGTTTAAAGTGCTTTCCTTACATGATTTTATGTTGCACTTTTGTCGTAGTTATTCTGATTATTGTTTTTACTCTGATTTTTTTTCGACACATAAATATTACTGCTGCAACCGACTCTTTCAGGTGGTTATCTTGCATCATTTTTTCATGTCAGTATTTTGTCACTGATTCATGTGTATTATATACACTTGTTTTTAGGCCTTATAAACTTTCATAAGTTTACAGAATTTGAACCGTCTTATATGTATGTGAGAAATTAAAGAGATGCCTCCAGAATGTGAACATAATTTGGCCAAAATTGACGTCTAATCTCCATATACTAAACTGATGTTCAGTTCAGTTGTCGAATGACATCTGATCACCCTAGCAGCCATGCAATCTACTTGTTCATTAAATATTTAAATATTCTAAACCACCACTATTATATGGAGAAAATTAACTTTAATATTTCTCAAGAAAATCTATGCAATCACTAAGTTTGTTCAATTTGTCCCATCTTAGTTCCTTTTTAAGTTATTTGGTTTGGGGCTTGGTGATTGGTATTTGGAGAGAACAGGTAGAAACATCTCTTTGAACTTGTGGATCTGAACTTTGAGAAGCCTCTCAAGTTTAGTAAGTCAGTTGTCTCTACTATGTGATGCATTGATCTAGTTACTTCCCATATGTGGCTGGTGTTCTGATTTGCTTAAATTTTTCTAATGTAATGAAGGCTTCCTTATAACATCTCATCTCTGTGGATGATGGTTTGTATTGAAAAAGATATTACTACATACACTAGTTTATGATTCTTGACATTGGATTGGTGTTTATAGAACTTTGTGAACACTTGTATGTGCTTTTAAGAGATGTTTTTTCCCCCTGTAAAATCCCGAAGGAATCGTGCATTATTGGAAGACTTATATGCTAGATTTGGCTGCAGGTTGCTAAGGAGAGACCCAATGGGAGCACTCGGCTATGTGAGCATGGAACCTTCTCTTACTAAATTAGTTGACTCTACTGATGATCGCCCTTCTGAGATGGGGCAAGTAGCTGCTTTGAGGAACGGAGAGGTTCTCGGACCGCAAACTGTTCTTAAGAGTGACCACTGCCCTGGCTGTCAACATCCTGGCTTGCCAGAAATATTAGAAGGTGCTCCTAACTTTAGAGAAATTCCAGGATTTCCTGTATATGGTGTTGCAAATCCAACTGTCAGTGGGATTCGATCTGTAATTCAAAGGATTGGTAGCTCCAAAGGTGGGCGTCCAGTTTTCTGGCACAATATGAGAGAAGAACCTGTTATCTACATCAACGGAAAACCATTTGTACTCCGTGAGGTTGAAAGGCCCTATAAAAATATGCTTGAATACACGGTATGAATGCAATTTCATGCAAATTTCAGATAAATAACTTATGTCAGATCTTGTTACTGCTGATGATGCATAAACCCTTCATTTTGCATTGACGTATCATTGCCAAATGTGTGTGACATTGTATCGTATCATAATATGGATCTTTTAAAACAGGCATGTTAAAAACGATAAAAAATTGAATTGACCTGTATCAGATCCATACTTGTCTTGGATACTCATTTCTAAGACTCTTACTTGAATCCATATTTTAGACTTCTATTATGCTGTCAGAAGCCGTTCCTCTACCTTTTGGTTTTCTCTGTTTGGAGGAATGCAGCTTCTTTCTTTCTTTTTCTTTTCACATGAAAATCAAGAAAAGTAGATCATGGAGCTTCTGTATGATTTTAATTTTTTGTCTTACTACCTTTTTAAAAGTTCTTGCAATTTCTTGTGTCACATGTTATTAATTTTAGAAGATATTCTTATTGATATTAAATCCGATGAGATCTCAATACACTCCCGCTGTTTCAATTTATATGTCTTACTTTCTTTATTGGTCTGTTGAGAAAACAATGATATTTTCTATATTTAGTAACTCTTTTATTCCAAAATCCTATTTGGCATGCTTAAGACCACAAGATTCAAAGGGTATTTTGGTACATTGTACACATGTTTAGTTTAGAACCATAAGATTCAAAAGTCTCCCTTATTTTCTTTAACTCCGTGCCTAGTCAAATTAAGGTACTTAAATTGACACGGAGGGAGTAGAACATAGTGCAAATATCTTTGCTTTAAGTCCCTTTTTTGAACCTTTGGCTGATATTAATTTATCAAAGAAGACAACTAATCAGTACTTCCTTTGTACCGAATAATCAGATTGCATAAACTGGAATTTGTTCCAAGCTGATTTTGATAGATTTCAAATGGTACAGGTAGTTCTATATTGAATTACGCATGTGTTTCAGTAACTATTTTATCTTTCACTTGGAAGTTGTTAAAGTTCCTGTTCTGTATCTTAAAAGCCTTATTTTGTTTTCTTCGGTGTACATATATTTTCATTTATAATGCAAGGGCTTCTTGTGTTACAAAGTTTGCTGAAAATACAAGATATTTCCTTCTTTTAAGTGGATTTGCTTTAGGGCCTTGACTCGTCTATTACTTATGATTTTGAGTTATGATTATTAAACTGGCTAGTTACAACTAAATGAATATAGGGCATCGATCGTGAAAGAGTGGAAAAAATGGAAGCTAGATTAAAGGATGACATTATGCGAGAAGCTGAACGTTATCAAGGAGCAATAATGGTTATTCATGAAACTGATGACGGTCAAATATTTGATGCTTGGGAACATGTGAGCTCTGATGCAGTTCAAACTCCTGTGGAGGTCTTTAAGTGCTTGGAGGCTGATGGTTTTCCTATAAAGTATGCTCGTGTTCCTATCACTGATGGCAAAGCTCCCAGAAGTTCTGACTTCGATGTATTGTCTTTTAATATAGCATCTGCTTCCAAGGATACTGCTTTTGTCTTTAATTGCCAGGTAACTTAGTATCTATTCTTCTTTTTCTTCTTCTTCTTCTTCGATTTACTTGTATTTTTCGAGACATTTGGCTCCAAACAGATGATGCTGATTTACTTTTTCTGCGAATACAGATGGGTATAGGGAGGACTACTACTGGAACTGTAACTGCATGCCTTTTGAAATTACGTATTGATCGTGGGAGACCAATTAGAGTATTGCATGATGCATCAAATCCTGATTTAGGTGGTGATATGTCAAGCGGTGATGAAAGTGAAGGCCAATCCCATCCACCTGCATCTTTAGTATTAAAAAGTAGACCTCAAACACACACGAATGATGCATTTGGGATAAATGACATCCTGTTGCTCTGGAAAATAACAAGATTGTTTGATAATGGGGTGGAATGCCGAGAGGCCTTAGATGCTATTATTGATCGATGTTCAGCTCTGCAAAACATACGCCAAGCAGTCTTGCAATACAGGAAGTTGTTTAATCAGCAGCATAATGAGCCTAGAGAAAGAAGGGTAGCACTAAATCGTGGTGCTGAATACTTGGAACGATATTTTCGTTTGATTGCTTTTGCTGCATATCTTGGTAGCAAAGCATTTGATGGATTTTGTGGACAAGGAGAATCGAGGATGACATTCAAAGATTGGCTGCACCAGAGGCCAGAGGTTCAAGCAATGAAGTGGTCAATCAGATTACGGCCTGGGAGATTCTTTACCATCCCTGTAATGCCTCTGTCATCTGTCTGTCTCATGGTTATGGATTCTTTTGAAGCTCGATTTGATTCTGTTATAATTGTTTGTACAGGAGGAACTAAGAGCTCCACATGAGTCACAACATGGAGATGCTGTTATGGAAGCTATTGTGAAAGATCGGAATGGCTCTGTTCTTGGTAAAGGGTCTATTCTCAAGATGTACTTCTTTCCTGGCCAAAGAACTTCCAGTCACATACAAATTCATGGTGCTCCTCATGTTTACAGGGTATGTTAAATTTCCACTATTGTCAGGACGATAAGAGAAGCTGAATTTTGATTTCACATGCCTAATATGGAGATAGTTATACTTGTGTTAGGGTTTCCAAGAGAAATGTATTGTACCATTTACAACACAGGCCTTTATCATCCACACACAAGATTTTCATCACATAGATTTTGAGGCCAATTTTTATATGGCAAACAACTATTTTCAACTAGATAGAGTAATAATGCTTTGAGACAAATTTAGCATACAGTATATTTATGTGTATGGTATATGTTTTTTTCCATTTAAAAATAAAATATAGTATACAATAATATATAGAGTATTATGTTAACATAGTTTTTTTTGTTGCCTATAATGCGCGAGACCAATAATACATAAATAGACTTGAAAAAATTAGGATCAAATGCAAAAATGTGAAGTATGAAAACTCTGATGAAATGCATACACACAGGAAATTGGAGAGAAGAATATACCCACAAAACAACAAACAAGAAACAAAAAAAAAAAAAAGAAAAAAAAAAGAGAGAAGATAAGGCATGTTTTTGCCTGGTTTTGTTATAGAAGATTGCTAGTTTTCTCAACCGGAATCTTAGAATATTAGGATATGAAAAGCAATAAGTAAACCCTGAATGGAAAACAGAGAAGCAGGTATGTAGAAGATGAGTACAAAAGAGGTTGTCAACGACAAGGGAGAGTATAAAAAACTGTCAGGCAAGACTAACCAGAGCAGTGTGCGAAAACTGGGTCAAACAAAGAAGAAAGTATTGTACCCCAATCAGTGATGCAGTATGGGAATGGTTTATCCCTCTGCTACTATTAGAGAAGATAATTCATGATTCTGCCTTCTTTTTTTTTTATTATAGAAGATTGCTACTTTTCCCAACCAGAATCTTAGAATACTAGGAAATGAAAGCACTAAACAATAAGTAAACCCTGAATGGAAAACAGAGAAGCAGTTATGTAGAAAATAATACAAAAGAGGCTGTGAACAGCAAGGGAGAGTATGAAAAGCTGCTAGGCAAGACTAAACAGAGCAGTGTACGAAAATCGGGTCAAACAAAGAAGTCCAAAGTATAGTACCCCAATCAGCGATGCAATATGGGGCTGGTTTATCACTCTGCTGCTATTAGAGAACTAATGTAAAGGCAGAAACAAAAAACAACATCACAGCAAGATCAGGTAAGCAGAAAATTACTATCCTTACGAATATTACAGAAGAGACAGTCAACAACAATGGAAAGTTCAAAAAAATTTCTAGTCAAACCTTACCAAAGCAGTGTATAAAGAATGGGCCAAATAAAGAAGTCCGAAGTATTCTACCCCCATTCACTTGACGATTCAGTAGGGGATTCGTTTATCCCTCCCCTACCATTATAGATCTCAACAAAAATCTCCATAGCCCAAATTATCACAGCATGGACTCTATCCGTCTAATCAGGCAGAATTCAGGTCGTAGAATAAATAGACAAAATATTCAACTTTTACCTAATTGTATAGGGTAGATTTGTTCACATTTGCAAATGTTGCATGTGCAATGCACGTATATGACCTTGTATTGGAAGAGTATAATACACTGATTGGAGAGAGATAGAGGCTAAGAACATAAATTTTGTAGTGAATATGCATAGATCTACAAATTTGTGAATTTTGAGTTTTATTTAAATGGCTAAAACTTGAAATTCTTACTGAATTTCTCATCCTTTTTAGGTTGATGGATACCCCATTTATAGCATGGCAACACCTACAATTGCTGGTGCAAAGGAGATGTTGACTTACCTTGGTGCAAACCAGACGTCAAAAGAAAGATTTGCTAAAAGAGTAATTTTAACTGATCTGAGAGAAGAGGCTGTTGTTTATATTAATGGAACACCCTTTGTTCTTAGAGAATTGAACAAGCCTGTTGAATCCTTGAAGCATGTTGGAATCACTGGTTCATTGGTCAGTCAATCAAATTACCCCTTCAAACAATGGTTATGATGATTTTATTATCTATTTAACTTCATTTTCCCCACAGGTGGAACACTTGGAGGCACGGTTAAAAGATGACATTCAATGTGAGATTAGACAATCTGGTGGTAGGATGCTTCTGCATCGTGAAGAGTTTAACCCGACTTCAAATCAAGTTAGTATCATTGGATATTGGGAAAACATATTTGTCGATGATGTTAAGACTCCTGCTGAGGTATATGCAAGCCTGAAGTATGAAGGGTATGACATAACCTATAGGAGGATACCGTTGACTAGAGAGAAAGATGCCCTGTCTTCCGATATTGATGCTATCCAATACTGTAAAGACGAGTAAGTGGCAGCACATACTTTGCAGAACATTTAAATGTCTTCAACTTCTGAGAGAGGTCATTCAAATTTTCACTAGTTGTTTTTGTGAGGGAAAAGTTGGCATATTAGAACTGAGGCATAATTCATTGATTGTATATGAAAGTTGGATAGCTTCTTGTCCTTCTGCAGCCATCACCATGACATTGACAGATGGCGTTAGAACTAGAAGTAAAACTCATGTTTGTGGAATTGCTCGTCTCAGAAACTCTAAATATCTCAGAGAATGTCCAATTGGATATAATAGGATATGCCTTGCTATACTAATTTTTTCGTGAGCTTAGGAATTTTGATAGGAAACATCCTCTCTACCCCGCAAAGGTAGAAGTAAGGTTTGCGTACATCCCCCCCCCCCCCCCCCCCCCAACCACTAGTTATGTTGTTGTGAGTTTAGGAATCTTAATCGAACTATCATTAACTTGTTACTGCCAATTTATACTAGTTAATGGCGCAAAAGCTCCATTCCTTTTTTTTTTGATAAGATAAGTGGTATTAATAACAACATTAGGAAGATGCAAAATTTACAAGATATGGCATTTGAGCTTACCAAAAAATCTCTGGCTAACTATACAAACTATCTAAGCCAGAGCTAATGAGTTAGTAAAATCCTGAAGTTGTTCTGCATTAACAGCAGGATACAAGTTGGTCCAACTAAACAAATTTTCAGTGCACCTAGTCTTCAAAATGCCTAAAGCAGTTGACTCTCCATCAAAACATCTCTTGTTCCTCTCTAACCAAATAAACCAAAAAATACAAGCAGGTATCATAATCCAGATCTTCTTGATGGCTTTGTCAACTTTCCATAGACTCCAACTCTCATATGCATCCTTAACAGTGAGGGGTGTGGTCCAATTGATGCCAGAGAGACAAAAAAACATGCTCCATAATTCTGAGGCCACCTCACAATGAAGAAGAAGGTGTCTGGGGGTTTCAGCCTCTTTTTTGCACATATAGCATCCATTCCTAAAGTTGTCTGGCTTGATTTGGTGTTTGAGAAGATTTAATCGTTCGTTCTTTGATAAGATAAATGTTATAACATACTTCTTCTTTTACTATTCTCACCCAGAATCCAGCGAAAAAGTCTATTCTGTGTCAGGTGTAGTGTGATTTTGATTGCCAAAGATATAAGATGTCTTTCTAGTGATAATTTCTCTCCCCGAATCCAGAGGAAAAGTCTTAACTGTGTCAGGTGCAGTGTGATTTTGATTGCCAAAGGATATAAGATGTCTTTCTAGTGATAATTTTTTTACCTGTGTCGATGAAGAATTTATTTGAGAGTTGTTAATCAGCGACTTCCTTTACTATGTTCTCATTAGAAGGAAAATTAAACTAATTGTTCTTTTTTTTTTTCTCTAAACAGCACTGCAGGATCTTACCTTTTTGTATCACACACAGGATTTGGAGGGATTGCTTATGCAATGGCTATTATTTGTTTAAGGCTTGAAGCTGAGGCTAAATTGTCATTGGATATTCATCGACCATTTGAAAGTACTGGTCTTCCTTGTTCACCTCTAGAGAATTTCAATGTTCAAATTTCTGATGAAGAGGCACGGAAAATGGGTGACTATCGGGACATATTAAGCCTCACTAGGGTTCTTGTGCACGGCCCCGAGAGCAAGACAGACGTTGATGCTGTGATAGAAAGGTACACATCCTCTATTTAATCCATAAATGCATGGGTTTCTTCTAGCTTCCTTTAGCAGTCCAGCTTCCTGAATACTACACAGGAGATTGGTTGAGGGCATAGATTCCATAAACTCCTCATACCATAAAATTGTCATTAGATTCAATTAGGAATCTCTATTCAACAGTAAAAGGAACTAGTGACTGAACTTTTCTGACTTTATTGGGTGAAGACAATTAGTGAGTCAAAAATATCGTTTAATGCTTATTAAGATATGTGCATATTAGGGGAATTGGGTAAACTAATTACTCCAAGATAAGAGGGAGATATAGAGAGGGAGCAGTGGTGAGTTGTCTAGGTTATAAGGCTTAGGGAAGGGTGCTCTTTTACCGGTAAAGTCGTCTTACTATGGCAAGTTGCTTTGTAAAGATGTACAAATCTTACAAACCTGTCCATTTGGATCCCCAACATCGTCGAGAAAGATGTATTTTTTTTGCATGGTTAACGAGCGATTCTGACTACTGAAAACTTGAGGAAGTGGAGCAATTGTGTTGGTGTTTCATGTGCAAAAATACAGGAAAGGATGTGGACTGTCTTCTATTGCATTGCCAGATAGCTTCACAACTTTGGTTGAAGATTCTGAGATGGTTTGGTTTTGGACTATGCTGGGTACGGTGAAGGATGTTGTATTCAGTTGGGCTTTTAGATGGCAGAAGAGAAGACATAGGGCATGGTATATTGCTTCATTGGCTTTAATGTGGGTAGTATGGAGAGAGAACTACAAGAGCTTATGAAGGAAGTGAGCCTGATTTTGTACATTTGAAGAATAGTTTCTTATCTTTAATATCTTTTTGGTGTACCATGAGGTACTTATTTGTATTTAAGGATGGGCTTCTTCTTCGGTAGAGAACCATTTATTTTTTGAAGGTTTTTTTATTTTTTTGGTATACTTCTCCATTCCTTTAGCTTGCCTTTAAGTGCTTTGAGCTTGCAAGCTAGAATATAATTAGACTTGCCTTGCAACCTCAAAAGACATTCACCATTCTCTTTTTCTGTCCACAAAACCTTCCGTGCTCAACCACCAATTCTCAAATTTGAAATAAGATTTGTTCTGTTCCCAGAGACCCATACTATCATAGTCAATTCTCTGTAGAAGTTTGATATTGCTGACCTATCATTCCACTCTTCTCTGTAGAAGTTTGATATTGCTGAACCTGTCATCTTACTCTACTCTGTAGAAGTTTGATATTGCTGAACCTGTCATCCCACTCTTCTCTGTAGAAGTTTGATAAACTATCATCCCCCTTTTCTGATATAAGTATTCTGTCAATTCTGGAAACAATCATGTGATTATCTTCTTTGAACCAAGTGAAAGAGCCCCCTTTCAGTTGAGGATCGATCAATTTCATATCCTGTATAACATAGATGGAGATCTCCTCCTACAATTCATTTCAGAAGGAAATCTTGTGATGTTGAAATCCCCACAAACAACCAGGGACCACCCATCAAGAACCTAGCTGCTGCCATCTCTTCCCAAACATTTTCCCTTTCATATCTGCAAAATGGTGCATATACCCTTGTTATGTGACTCTCAAAGTCTTGTAAGAGTGTCTCAAACTTGCAAGTTAAGGTATATGAACCAATTTGGAAAGAGGTCGCTCTCCAAATTCTACTATCCTATAACATGAGTATACCCTGTACCACTAGCTTCTAAGTAGACAAATCTCACCCATCTACTCCTCCGAATCTCTTCAATGATCTCCCTTACATTCCCTTCTAATTTTGTTTCCTGAAGACAAATGATATCAGCCATTCCATTTGTGTATCAGGCTCTTTACTACTTTTCTTTTATCCTTATTATTAAGCCCCCTGACATTCCATGACATCAAATTGATCTTCATTAAAACAATTTCCACCCTTTCCCTTGTTCCTCTTCCCATCATTCTTGAACAGTTGAACTTGACATCAAAAGCAGTACCCTTAGTTCGTGAACTCCTTTGTATCTAGACCTCTTGATAGAAACCTCGGCTTCCATTTCTCTGGGCTTCCTTCTACTGTCAATTTGCTTGAGCAGTTCCAAATCTTCTGCCTCATGTCCTTGAAACTCTACCCCAAAAATTTTGCCCATTTTAATCAAGTTTTGGTGCACCCAAATTGTTGCATCCATCTACTTGTCTGGTAGCAAATTTTGATGTTGTTGAATAGGTTCTGCATCTTCCAATACCCATTTGTCAATCTCTTTTCCTTCTTGGATCGCCATTGAGTTATGTTGATCTTTCACTATTTTCTTCCCCTCCTTTAGAGTATCACCCATCATAGTTAAGTCATGGTATATGTATGTTTCGAGCCTTGCAGGCCAGGCTCTGTTATTTTCTCCCCCAGGTTCAGGAGTTCTGCTTGCGTCGACCCCTGTGTTTTTGTCACTGATGAAGAAAATACTGTGAGTGTTGTTTGCGTTATTTATTCGACTAAAATTTGGTCGAAACTTTCATCCAGATGTTTGGATTTAAGTCACTGAAAATGACTTAGACTGCTCTGTCAGCCCCAAAATCCCCTTTCTTGAACTCTCCACATGCTCTTTATTAGCTGCACATTGTATACCCATGTTTTCAGTACCTTTTTTTATGTCATAAAGCACGTCTTTTCCCTAAGGTCTGTTGAAAGCTTTGAACCAGCAGTTTTTTCGCCAAAACCTATCAGCTAGAGCGTTTCCAGAATCGGACATCTCTCTCGACTCAAGTAGGGATATGGAATTTAAAGTCATCTATTTCTATCGTTACCTCACTGGGGAAGCTCCGGCCATCTCCTATGATTTGGATTCTTGCCACTTGAGGTGTTTTTGAGTTTTGTTTCCTCTTCAGTGGAAACACCCATCTTCCACAAAGATTCCACACTTCTGAGAAAATCTTCTGCGACCATAGATGAAGTGGAATTCCCAAAGCCCTAATCCATGTGGTATCATTGTTTTGAGAGATTGGAGAATAACCGACTGTTGGATTCCACCACTCAAGTCGCATCTTTCCCCTTTTTCATCTCCACTCCTTCTTTAGTGTCTGCTCCACCATATTTCTGTTCCGGAATTCGAAAAGAAACATATTCTCTGCCCATTTAGATATTGACCTCAAAAACTGCCTTCCATGTAAGAGAGCACCATCTTCTAATACCTGCTAGTGTAATTTTCTCTGCGATCTCCTGTCCAAAATGCCCAACTATGCATCTATTGAGCAAGCCACTACCCTTTATCCCCCATGGCTCTGCAATGCGAATATCTCATCGACCGCTGCAGCTGTGGACTCTTTAAGTGTATTATACTGCCATTTGCTTTCATGTACCACTCTGGCGCAAGGATAATCCTCCTTATAAGCTCTGAAAGGCTCTGCATTGATCAGTAGGTTGGAGCATTTAATAAACCTCTCTATCTTAAATGCTATATCATTCCAACCAGCATTCAAGGCTAACTAAGGAATTATTAGGACCGATCTTTCATTCCCCTGAAGCGACAGGATGCTCATGTATCTTCCCTTCACATTAAATTTCCTGGTGCAGTAGAGGTCTGCAAGTTTCTCCTTGGTATTCCACTTCCTAATCATACTTTCCCCCGTCTTTCAATGGTTCCTCAAGGATACTACAGAGCCACCTCATGGTATTTGAGCTCAAAGTTGAACGTTTCATCATGTTGCAAATTCTTTCCACCCATTCGTACCAAGTCCCGTTGCTGGCGGTGAGAGGAAAATCTGAGCAGAAAAAATGAGAAAAGTGAAGGAAGAAGTTTGTTAGAGATAACAGTGGGTGAAAAACTGAGCTACCAAGCCAAACGTTGGCCAGCAAGAGTCGCTGGAGAATAGTTATCTTAGAGTCCAAGAAAGTAGGAGAGAGAAATCCAATTATCATAAGCTTTTGTTGCGGGAGGAATTAGTTTTCCATTCTTTGTTGGTATGGATTCCTCAACACCAAAAAATGGCTCCTTTGTACCTTTTTTGGCAGAGTGGATCAATATTGACAGTTAAGAATTTGAAAAAGAGGTGGATACATATGTCAGTTGGTGCTTCATATGCTATTGTTAAGGTGAAGATGTGGACCGCCTCCTCCTATATTGTCTGTTGGCAACTTGATTGTGGTGTGAGATTTGAGATGTCTCGGACTGTAAAGGTCGGTGTTGGACATAGTGAAGGAGGCACTCTCCAGCTGAAAATTTAGAAAGCAGTCAGAGAGATGTGAATGTTGCTCAACTAGAACTCATGTGGGTGCTGTGGAAGTAAAGAAATAGGGGAGCTTTCGGTGGGATAGATTGAATTTGAGGAATAGTCTCTCATTTCTTATTTTTTCTTGTTGCACTGATGAAGTTCCAGAATTCAGTTTGTATAGAAAATTGAGTGTCGTTCAAGGAGAATCATATTACTCCCTCCGTTTCATTTGTCTGTCCTAGTTGAGTGGACACATAGTTTAAGAAAGTAAAGACTTTTGAAATCTTGTGGTTGTTAAGTAAAGATATGTATAATGTACCAAAAAGCCCTTTAATCTTGTGGTCATAAGCATGTCATGTGGAATGTTGAAATTAAAGAGTTGCCAAATTAGGAAAAAGGCATTCTTTTCTTAACGGACTGAAATGGGAAGTAAGACAAACTAATTGAAACAAAGGGAGTATGTTGTAAATTTTTTACTTTTTAGATCTGCTTGTGCACTGGAGACTTTCTCATAATTAATAAAATCATTAGAGAGGAGATGATTTTTTGTACAGAAGGAAGTTGGAATATCATTGCTGACCAACTTTTTAAGTTCTAAGCTAACAGAAAAACTGAATTTGCTACTTATGAGTAGACTCAAGTCATGCTTCTACTTTGATATGGTGTTGGTGTAGGTGTAGGAACTGATCTAAGTAGTTTGATCTTGAAGGTTTAAATCAACTGAATTGCAAGCCACTGTTCTTCTGAATATTTTCTCTGACAGTTTCTTTTCAATTTTTCAAAGGTGTGCAGGTGCAGGTCATTTAGGAGAAGATATAGTTCAATATTCACAGGAGCTGGAAAGGAAATTAGATGACGATGAAGAACGTCGAGCATATCTTATGGATATGGGCATTAGAGCTTTAAGGTTGATTTTCTTCCATCTCTTTTTAATGAAGAGTTTGTTGATAAAAATGGAAGGTAGAAGCAGAGAACATAATATGCTCAGTTTACAAGGAACAAACATACTGCCCCTACACCATCTTTGAGGTCCTTCTTTGGGCGCTTGTTTAAGATAAAGCTGAAATTTCTATTGTGCAGCAGAAATGCATATAAAATATTGAAAAGTTGTTAGAACTGGCAATTTTTTCCTTCTAGAAAGTGGTTGGAGCCGGGACAAACTAAAACAGATAACAGAACACATATTGGACAAGGAGTAGTACAAAATAACTGAATAAAGATATTGTCCTTGAGAAGCTCGTACTTCATTCATATGCTATATTGTCTTATACAATTAGCCTCATCCTTGGAATGGAAAGGTGCCATCTTTTTCCTAGAGCAATGGCCAGTTAACATTACATCTAAGGTGCTTTGCTGCGGAACAGGCAAAGTTTATAACTGTATAAATTAACGGTTTTATTTCTCTTCTTTTTGCAGGCGATATTTTTTCCTGATCACATTTAGATCCTATCTCTACAGCAGTTCTCCAGCTGAGTTAACATTCAAAGAATGGATGGATGCAAGACCTGAACTTGGCCACCTATGTAATAACCTTAGAATCTGACATATAGTGAGGATAGGGGTCAACACATGGCTCTCTGTGTGCATACCTACAAACACAAAGGGAATGTGGAATAAAGTTGACCAGATTGAGAAATTGCTGATACTAGAATAAAAAAAGTTAGGAGCTGATAGCTATAGCATTTAAATTCGTTCAGAACATAGATGCCGTGCTGCAGCCAAGCAAAGAGGAAGCAAGACTGTGGCAATTGAAAGAACTATTGTCATTTGTAAATCGAGGAAACAAAAACTTCGTAGGTGTAAGTTGCTAGTTAAAGGTATATTTCAGTACTCAAGTTGTCAACAAACTGTAAAGCTGCTTCTGAACTATGAATGTGTATATTAACTTTTCCTGTGAAAACTTATAGAAATATAAAGCAGTCTTCAAATTGTAGATGTATTGACATGTTATGTGTTAATAACTGTTGACATGTATAGAAGCTTCTTCTTATAGACATGGATTCAATTGCCTTGATGATCATAAACGTAACTTTACAGACATGAAGCAGATTAAAGGCTCTTTTTTAGATTGCACAGGACTTGCTAATCAACTATGTCAATCTCAAATTAGTTGGAATCTTTTGTATAAGTCTGCTTTCGACTCTATGATCATGTGCTAATAGAGGGCAAATTATCCCTTGCTAATGTGAAGGGATGAATAGAACGATGCATATTAAGACGATCAAACATAGAAAAATTGAAAATATTTTTTAGAAAAAATGTTTTCCTCAATATCGAACATATCCCAAGACTGTGAATCTTGGTCATCCCCCATTCAGCTCTAGAGCATGCTTATAATATTTCTAAAAGGCATTACGAGCACCATTAATATGAGAATTTTAGTAGCTTAGTTGATTGACTATCTAGACTTCAACTTTATTGGTGAGAGTTTGATTCTCTACTTTGTAATCCCCTCCCACATTTTCTTCTTCCCTACCTTCAATTTTTTTCTTCTCCTTAAAAAAGAGTACCATTAATACCTCAAAAAGATGATGACCATCAACAAAGATTTTAAAATTCTTAGAAATGTGTAATACATAAATGTGCCCTTAAATTTAATTTCAGTTGTTATTTATGTTCTTCAACTTTAGGTGAGCACAAATAGACAGTTAAATTTATATAAAATTGAACAAATAGATATATGTGTTCATAGTGCATACATTAGGATGCTACCTAAGACACGATTTGCCAAGTAGAACGCCAGGTAAGATGTATTTATTTGTTCAACTTTAAAATTAAAAGGCATAAGCACCATCTTTGACACACGTTAACTCTTTAATTGGCTGGCATGTGAGCCTAGAGTTCATAGTACTTCATTTTGCCAAGCAAATAGAGTAATGGAAAATATGACAACAGCAGAGGCCCAATCCCCGAGGCAAAAACCAAAATGCAAGTCCAGTACCAGTTGTGGTGGCATACGAATACCACGTCTTCACTCCCCCTATCTTCAATTTTCTACCGTCACGAAGCCATAGCAGCTGCTGCCGCACGGCACCGCCACAACACTGCCTTATCCGTCGCCACACTCAGCTTCAGGTTCAACAGAAACCCTAACTTAACCTCTAGAAGATATCGTCTTGATACTGTCACGTGTTCTGTAGACGTCGGGGGAAACGCTACCGTTGACGATTATGACGATGGAGATAATCGGAATGATACGGGAGAAGAAGGCAATGAGGAGGAGGACGGCGTTGAGACTGAGATTGAAAAAATGGGGAAGAATCGTCGGAGGATTCGATCTAAGGTAGTTGTGAAGGCCAGCTTGCAGAGTGTTTGGAAAGTCCTTACTGATTATGAAAGATTAGCTGATTTCATCCCTAGTCTTGCTGTCTCCCAGTTGCTTGAGAAGGAACCCTATTTCGCCCGACTTCTTCAGGTTTTTTCTGTTTAATTGTTTATTTTTATAGAAATTTATCCTGTCAGAGATGTACTAGTTTGATCGTTGATGTGGTAGTGCGCCATTGTTGATTGTTTTTTGGAAGATATTAGACGGAGGAACTTCTGACAACACAATATTTTCCCTCAATAGTTGTAAAATTTCTAAAATTATTCAAACTATTGAAAGAGTTGTTGTAAGAGTAGCAACTGCTGGTACTATTGAGCTTGCCAATGACCATGCATTAGGCCTGTTTTGGACAATTGCATATGTTGCTTCGCTGCCTGATGAAAATCTAATCAACTTGACTTCTTACCACCAATACATAAAATGTCAAATAGTGCAACGGTGATGTTAGCTTGTCAAGTTCAAAATTTAGAACTCCCTAACAACTTGCATCTCATACAAACCAAAAAAAGAAAGAAGTCTTCACACATGCTTACACTACAGTATATGATATGCTTATCAACAAATAATATAGAACGAGATCGAAGAGAAACTAAAGCGCCAAACATAAAAACCAACTCATCGTGTTAATTTTCTATGCTGTTTTGGTATTGTGACTCGGTGCCAAGGGTCTACCAAAAACAAACTCTCTACCCTACAAAGGTAGGGGTTAGGTCTGCGTACATCCTACCTTTCCCCAGTCTCCACTTGTGGGATTACACTTGGTATGTTGTTGTGATCATCGGTTTAATTTACAACTAATTGGCCATACACAGAGAGACATTATGCATTCAAAATACATTCACACAGGAAAACACATACACGGACAACAACTACTTCGCCTTAATCCCAAACAAGTTGGAGTTAGCTATATGAATCCTCACTAACAATGTTTCTCCATTTAAGTCAACTCATGTCGTTATCATACAAAAAAAGTGAAAGAAAAGTTAAATATATACATATATATAAATAATACTAATAATCATATTAAAAGTTTTCTATAATTTTACTGCACATAAATATATATGGTAAGGTCTAAATACTCCTATACCCAAGGGTGTGACCTAGTGATCAATGAATTGGTTGAGAACCCTGAGGTCTCAAGTTCAAAACTCAATGGAGACAAAAAACACTAGGTGATTCTTCCCATCTGTCCTAGCCTTGGTGGACAGAGTTACTTGGTACCTGGTGCTGATGAGAGGTGGCAGGTATTCCGTGGAATTAGTCGAGATGTGTGAAAGCTAACCTGGACACCAGGGTCATCAAAAAAAAAAAAGATAAGGTCTAAATACTCCTAGAAAAGTAATGGGTGAAATTAGACTTATTCCTATTCCCAACTAGTAGTTGACTCTTTTACCTGTTGTATCTTCTAGATGCTATTGACGAATCAATTTACTTCTTAAAAAGTATGTGCGCGTGTGTGTATCTGAAACTCATTACTCCAACAAAGAGAAAGAAAGTTTACATTCAATTCAATGTGAATTAAATATTTCCTTGACAACTGGCAACATACTTCTCCTTACGGCAAATTCTTGAGTTCGCTACTTCGTTATTTTAAGCATGAGTTTTGTGTTGGTATATCACTCTTATCTGATATTTGAATCTCTAATTTACAGTCAATAGATGGCATGCCCTACATACTTATTGAATTTCCAAGATATTAGTATCTTGGAGTGATCTGATATTAAATTGTAATATTTAATAGATTGGCGAGCAAGACTTGGCATTTGGGCTCAAATTTAATGCTAAAGGTGTCATTGATTGTTATGAGAAAGATCTTGAAGATCTCCCTACTGGTCAGAGGCGTGATATTGAGTTTAAGATGGTAGAAGGTGACTTCAAAATTTTTGAAGGAAAATGGTCTATCGAACAGGTATAGTATTCTTTCTTCTCTTTTTCTATTACTCGTCTTCTATCAGATCCTTTGTTTTGTATCTGGAAAATATGTGTCTAATGTCTATATGGAAATTCCAACATATGATGTTCCCCAAGAATTATTCATGTGCATTTTTTTCCTTGGATAACTTCTCCTTCTGCTTTTTCTTATTTTTTCCCTAGCAAATTTGCAACATATATTCTCCTCTTGCTATTCATTTGCACTTAGAAACTCAGTAGAAACTCTGCAATGTGAGGTTAAAAATGGAATGGAAGCAACAATTGGAACTCGTCTCTGTTCTTTCTAAAATGTCTTAATGTATGTATGATTAATTGGCGGTAAAATCCATGTTGATAATTTTGCTGACGTCTACATAGCTTAGAAAAAGTAAATCTTGAAAATCATCTCTCTGAATCCATGAGTTAAAGCTGATTTGCAACAATTTTACAACTATGACCTAATTCTCCTTTTGAAGTGTAGGTGTGAATTCTTCATTGCATGTTACCAACAAATACGTTTACAGTTTTGTCAAAGCCCTTATGTTATTTAGTGTTGTGAAAACATGCAGTGCAAGACAGGTGGTGACCAAGAGCTTGATTCTTTGGACGAATCATTTCATACAACTCTCTCCTACATTGCCGATGTTGAACCTAAGCTTTGGTTGCCTGTGCGGCTTATTGAAGGCAGACTCTGTAAGGAGATAAAAATCAACCTGCAGTCTGTTCGGGACGAAGCACAAAAAGTATATCTCTCTTCATTTTCATCTTATTAACCAATTAACTAATTACTACTACCATTTATTACTGAAGAAATGTGTATATATTACCATTCACGTAATACAGTTTTGCCAAAGCAACTTCTACTTTAGTTGCAGTCTTGTGATTATGTGGATCAACAATTATAGGTTCATAGCAGTTCATATTCTGTTTCTTTTGTGCAATATGAGTACAAGATCTAAAAATAAAGACTGTTTTTTAATAAATAAATGTATTTAATTTCTCCCTCTTGTCATTTTGCATTGTCTTCTAGTTATTGTCATATATTCTTAGGAAATTCCATCACACTGCTTGCATTCTGATGTACCTAGTGAGGAAGCAATTTCTTGAAAATTCTAATCCTTTTTGATGTGTGAAATTGTAATCATGCTTTATTTTCCATTTTTCACTTTAGTTTTTTTTCCAGAAAATGTTCTCTCAAGTACTAGTCCCATATGGCGTATCATTTTCTTTTTGCTCCATATCCCAGAGGTGTCCACTTTCATATTCCCATGGGAAGTACTCTGTCCAACACCATATTTCATCCTCTGTGTGTTTTGGTGGGGGGGGGGGGGGGGGGGAGGAGGTATGGGT